CCGCTGCGTCCGCGCCCGCGCAGGCTCGCCGTCCTCACCTGTAGCAGCAGTTTGACTCTCTCTATGGGGGCGACCGCGGTCTTGGAGACGGCAGCGGCGATGCCACCTGCCAGGAAATCCTTCAGGAAGCTCAAAGCCTGGTCGCTCATGATGACAGCCGGGCGCACACAGCCTGCAAGGAGCCGCGCTCTCGCTCTCGCCTACGCCCTGGCCAGGCACCGCCACCCCGTCTCCGACCCAGAGCGACGCGAACGGGCCGCTCGCCTCGCCCGCAACTCTCCTTATATCCCCGGCCCAGGGTCTCGCGAGAGGAGCAGCGCCCCCGGCCGGCACGCTCGGTGCGCATTGGCTGGGCAGGTGCTTGGACACCCCTTCTCCGTCCCCTCCTATGCAGAGGGCATTGGGGGCGAAGGCGCTTCCGGGAGGTAGGGGTGAGTTGGGGGCTGTACCTTCAGCTTGGGACATTTAAAGGGCAAATTCATGTTATCTGTCCTACGAGCGGAGAGAACACCATGTCACTGCAGCATGTGGGCTGCTGTATTTATAGCACAAGAGGACTTAGCCTGGGGACAGACACGGGACCGCTGCCTGGAGCAGGGTTTGTTTTAACCTCGGGCCTGCACTTCGCTGCGCGCTCCTGGCTAAGGGATTTCGGATTATTTTTTCCGTCTTCCTTATAACGGCGCCCTTCACCAGAGCTCATTGCCTGGATTTGGGTCTCTTAGCTGCGCGCTCTCGCAACCAAATTACGATCTTGCTAAGTAGATACAGAGGTCACTTGATGCTGTGATTGCTTCATATAATCTGGGAACCTCCTCTTCCCAAGTCTTTTCATTCAATCGTTTAATCATTCATTCTGCTGGGTACTCGGTGCCACCAGGAAAGGCCAGACGCAGGGGGCTCTGTGTGTTTCTTTTTTCTGTTAAGTCAGCCTGTCACACGGTGTGCAATGCTTAGCCTAGTAACTCAGGACAACACTTTTTTTCCTAAGCTTACATTTCAGAGCTCCTGAGACTCTGCCTCTGTGCCCCCTTAAGGTGCCACTCTGCTCTTGGCGGGATCTCAGCGCACACTCTGGACACGGTGTTGTGTCAGCTGGCACCTCTTGAGGGTCAAAGCTGTCAGCCTTTCCGAGAAGGTCGAATCCTTGGTTGTCTTTGTCTCTTTTAATGGGCAACTGAGGTTGAGTAGACCTATGTAGTCCCAGGAAATTGATCGTAATTAATTTTAAAAATATATTGTTATTAATATTAATGTATTACTTTTTTTTTTTTTTTTTTTTGTACCAGGGATTGAACTCGGGTCCTTGCGCTTGCAAGACAGGCCACTGAACCGCTGCTCTAAATCCCCGGCCCTGTATTACCTCTTTTTTAACAAAGGCAATTCAAATAACCATACAGTTTTTCAAATACTACTATTTCCTTCTCCTGCAGTGATTGAAATTCTTTTTGTTTGTTTTGTTTTTCCAGTACAGGGACTTGAACTCAGGACTGCACGCCACTGCGCTAAATCCCCAGCCCTGCAATTCGTTTTTCCAGTCCTCTCCCCATATCTGCTAGTGTTCATTTGTACATTTGACAAAGTTCGTTCATTTTTTCTCAAGTCTCATTGATTTTTTATGCTTACTGGCAATGCAGATGTCATGTTAGGTGTTTATTGAGCTACAGCTGGGTGTCATTGAGGGCATAAAGACTTAGGTAGAGCAGAGTTGGACTCCAGGACCATGGAGAGGATGTGTTCATTCAAGGTTGGGGCCAGTGGAGTTGGGAAATCAAGGTGAGCCATACAAAGGATGAGAACTATTGCAAAATTGCCAGAGGTGGCCAGGGATTTAGCTTAGTGGTTCTGCCACCTGCCCTGCAAGTGCAAGGTCCTGAATTTGATCCTGGTACAAAAAAAAAAAAAATTGCCAGAGGTCAGAGCAGACAAAAGAACAGTCACACTGACATCACATATCTTCATTCAACAAACACTTGTCGAACATTTATTGTGTACCAGGTACTAAGTCTGTTTCTGTGGATTCAACAAAAAGGAAAGCAGGCTCATCTCCAGTGACCTTACATTCAGTGTATTTGTCCCTTGTTCAGCTTTATCCATTGCAGCTTCACATATATATTTCCATGGATCAAAAAATCCACATGGTTAGTATTTTCAGTTATAATAGTATACTGTATTCCACCTTGTTAATATTATTGGTTACCTAAACCAATTTCCTTTAAACTGTGTGTTACAATTGTTTCTATTTTTTTGTGTGAAAAATAATGCAGTTATATAGACTTATTTTCCTCTTTTTTTTTCTTTTTGTACATTCCTAAAATGGCATGGCTAGGTTGAAGATTTCTAAAGTTTTGTAGCTCCTGCCACTTATAGACAAATTGCTCTTCAGAAATACAGACTCACCAGGAACATAGATTCTCACACACTTTTCTTCCTCTCCATGGACTTTCTCAGAAAAGAGAGGCCTCAGATGCCCTCAGGAGCATGAAAGGCTGTGATCACAAGATGCAGATATCACTTACACAGGCTGGGGAGAGAATGGTGCTGCAGAACATGTGTCTGCCTGTCTGGCCCAGTCCTTGGTGGCTCTCTGCCAGTGTGAGAATGAACAAGGCCTTGCAGAGCTAAGAGGAAACTCACTTTCCAATATGTCATGCTGTCCTGGAGGCCAGGGGAACGGGGCTCTGAAGAAATAAAGATAGGGGATTGAGCTTGTCTTTGGGAGTTTCGGTGGAAGCTTTTATAGAATTAGTCTTGTCTGACTGGGACTAGAGAATGGGAGCTGCTAAAGAATAAAGGGCACAAGAATCACAGAAAACACTAAAGGACTTGCTGGTGCTGGTGATGATGAAATGCTGTGTGTAGGTGCACGTCTAACAGTGCTAGGGATTGGAACACAGTGCATGGTACATTTCAGCATTAAGCAAAGACGGTCAAAATTTATTGATTGTAAAAGACTACATATGAACTGTTGACTGCTAATCAAAAGTATTTACTAGACTCCTTTACATTGAAGCCCTGGAAATTCATGATGCATTGCTCTGGAAAGACAAAATAAATATGTCATGGCAGTTCTTGCTTGGGTTCACTTAATGAATTAGAACAATACCTCAACAGATTCCTTATAATCAATGGCTTTATATAAAGCATTTATTTAAAGAAACTCATACTTCAGCAATCAGTACTCATGCAACCATTAGCCAAGGCCAAGCCAAATTGTGAAACTACAACTTGTCTTTATTTTAACTGCAGTTATTTGTTCCAGAAAATTTTGTTAGTGGTTGATTCCCTCGGCTATTCATTATTTTCTTACTCTTCTCCATCAGAATTAAAATGATCTGAACTATTTGCACCCAGCTAATCTGTTCATTTGCTTTTTGTTCATTTTCATCTTCCTACAAGGATTATTGAGTCTGTATCTGAGACCCCAATGGCTCTGTATTGTGCTGGTGACCCAGAGCTCAGAAAAGTAAGTGGCTCACTGGAGAAGCACACCCGCCAGGAGCAGATGCGCTTGTGCTGTCAGCCAGGTGCTCCTGCTGCCAGGTGAGCAGAGTCCACAATGGGTCTGGATGTCCTTCGGGAAGATGGCCTGTAATATACTTCCTCAGCTGGGGCTTGTATTTTTTTAAACACTTGATAAATGTGTATAAAACCAAATGTCTTAGAAGGATTTAGGGGCTTAGTCTTTAAAGGAGGAGGTGGGTGTGGGGTTAGTGGCTGGGAAGCTCGGTATCATAGGAAAGAGCGCTGAATGGATTCCTGTCCAAAAGTTTGCTTCCTGGAGAAGTGGAATGAGGCTGGCCACTGGGTGCTGGGGCCCAGGAAACCTGGGTGTTCTCCAGCCCATGCAGTGACCCCTGATAACACAGGTAGACTCTGCACCTCCTTAAGGTGATTCACAACTCCCTTTCTCTCATTTCCAATATTAGCTGCCCTTTACTTGAGACTGCAACAAGCATATTTTGTGTTTTATATCACAATTAAGCTTGTTTTTGCATGTGTAATAATGCCTTCTGTCCAGAACCATCTGCCTTCCCTGTTGGCATCTTCTGGTTTCACTGAAGGGTAGCCTTTGGGAGTGAAGCCATCACTCACTTGGAGATGGCTTGATTGATTTTCTGAGTACAGCCTCCTTTATGTTTAGGGCTTCATACATCCTATCACTCATTCTAAAAAGCACTCTATTCCTGTTATTATTATTAAAACCAACATTTAATAAATGTTGTCAGAGAAACCATTTTTAATTATATGTGCATTCGAAGAGCAAAGCTTTGCTATTCTAATGTTGAGAGTTTTTAATATCCTCACGTGCTTCCTTTTGCCTCAGAACACTTTCCTCATACAACCAGCTGGACATTCTGTGCCACTGCCACAGGGAAAAAGCACTAGGAAAGCAAAGGATGTAGTTTATTTTTGGCATTATCATTTCCAAAAGAAGATTTAAAAAATTCAAGTCTAAGCAGTATAGCAGAATACCAAAAGGAAACCAAAGCTTTCTGCCCACCCTCCCTTCCAATATTTACATAAGGTTTCTCAAACCTGAAGAGGAGGGAAAACGATGAGAGAAAAAGCAAAGAACAAGATATTAGTCTGAATCCCTGAGGAATGAGGACCTGTATTCTACCTCAGCCCACAGAGGCAGCACCATGCCTGGGAAAAATTGGCTGGGTGGTGTTTTAGTACACAGGTCAGGGCCCACAGAATTAATCCGGCAAGGGTAGGAGGGCAGGAGAGCGAAACCCAGGCACCAGCAGTTTAGCCTGCTGGTGTGAAGGACCTTGGGTGAGTGTTTTGGGGAGCAGCAGAGTAACACTTGGTATCTAAGGACAGCAAAGTTCATGGACACAGCCGGACCTGAGAAGCCTCACGTCTGGAAGAAAGGAAAGTGTCGGTTAACCTTAATGGAGCCATGACCGAAGACCAGAATGACTCAAGTAAATGCCTGGCATTGTCGCCAGTGTAGACATGGAGATCCAGACCACGTACTCCTCCCTTTCCCATCCCCAGCATAAAGAAGTCCCTGTAATTTAGATGTCGTACATTGGAAAGCACAAAAGGGAGAAAGAGATACAAGTTGCTTCTTGGCAGAACGAAGTATATAATAGAAGTAAAGTTGTCATGCACAGTTGAACTTGTAGACTCATATTTGTTCTGGCTGTTGCATTTTTTTATTTATAAAAGGTAACATGAAAAGTTGATATCAGAAATTTAAAAACTGTGCTGTTCCTCACCCTATAAAGCACATTTCTTTCTGCTTTT